ACGACGGCCCGAGTCGGCTGCGTATCGGACGGCGAGCACGCCAGAAGATCCGCGGACGCGGAGCGAACTTAGCAAAGTAAGGTCTCCGAGTTAGAACCCGACGGCCCGAGTCGGCCGCGGAGGCCACGTGTCGGACGGAAAGCGCTGTGTCAGACAACGACGGCCCGAGTCGGCTGCGTATCGGACGGCGAGCTTATCATGAGAAACTCTTGAGCGGGTGTGCTTATCATGTGCCAACACGTGTGCGCAGCGCTACGCGAATACAATGAGTAACGCCTTTAAGACAACCTTGAGATCGATGACTCAGAGGGCCAACTACTTGGAGCGTTTAAATTTCCTTGCAAACTACAAGCACAGCGCAGCAGCTGCATCGTCTTTTTTGGCCTCATACTCCTCGGCTGGGTGTTCGCAGGCTCACTTTTGCCTCTTCCACGGTGGGGCGGCAGCAGATTCGATCCTTAGATGCTGTAGTTTCCGCAAAGTCTTTGCTTCAGTTATTGCATTGTTGCTGCCAGGGCAAAACTTGTCTACACACGAGTTGGTGTTCTAGATGACGCTTTTGCTGTTTTTGCCGGTTTGTTCTTGTCGCTGGAACTAGTGCTTTGGGCTATTCCGCACGTTATGTGTGAAAACTGCACAACGGGGCCTGCCACAATATTATTCGGACCACGTGCAGCCAGGATGCCCGCAATGTCGTCGCAAGGCTTGCGCTACCTTCTCGCAGAACTCAGGTGAAGGGTGCCGGGGTGGGCTGGCCTGGGCTGGCTGCATTGTTGGCCGCGTAGACTCTGCATGCTGCATTGGCTGCATTGGTTGGACTGGATGCATCAGCTGTGTCGTCTGCGCAGTCTGCATCGGCTGCATCACCTGTATCGGCTGCATCGTCTGCATCGGCTGCATCGTCTGCATATGCTGCATCGCCTGTATCGGCTGCATCGTCTGCATCGGCTGCATCGTCTGCATATGCTGCATCGACTGTATCGGCCGCATCGTCTGCATCGCCTGTATCGGCTGCATCGTCTGCATCGGCTGCATCGTCTGCATCGGGTCCCGGGGTGGGCTGGCCTGGGTTGGCTGCATTGTTGGCCGCATAGACTCTGCAGGCTGCGTTGGCTGCGTTGGTTGAATTGTCTGCATCATTTGTGTCGTCTGCATCGGCTGCATCGTCTGCATCCGCTGCATCGGCTGCGTCGTCTGCCCTGCATCGGCTGCATGGCCTGTGTCGGCTGCAGCAGCTGCACTGTGCTGACCTTGCGTCGGCCATATTTCCGCGGGCTGCATTGGTTGCATTGGGTCCGCCCGTTGCATCGGCTGGATTGGTTGCGCTGTGTGTGCGGGCTGCAGTGGCTGCGCGGGCTGCGTTGGGTGCGCCGGCTGTGTTGAATTCGGCTGCGCAGGTGCCGGCTTTGGGTGCTCCGGCTTCGCCGGTGGCGCCGTGGCTGGCTTTCGAGGTCTCTCTAGCGGTGCTTTTGCGTGCGCTTGCTTTGCGTGCGCCGGCTTTGGTTGCGCCGGCTTTGGCCGAGGCTGCTCCAGCGGAGCTTTTGCCGGTTGGCGGCGCTGCCAGTTGCTTGCTCTCTGCTGCGAATGTTTCCTCGTCATGTTGAACACTGCGCACCCTCTCCAAGCCGAAACGGCAATAGCGGACTGGTCCGGATCGCTGTTGCTGCATCAAGCCAATGAGTAAACGAATTAGTGGGTGAAATGTGTAGGTGCAGGTACACCAAGGATTCCGCTTTGTATGCGTATATATATGTGTATCATCATGTGTATATATAATATGAATATGCTTGTGCAAACACATATACATATGCATAGGCACAGACACCTATATACTCTTTACACGTTTCTATATGACCGCTGCCTCAGACGCTGCAAAAGCACGTATCGACATGGAGACTGCTTTTGCAACAACAACAGCGCACCATCATGCTGTTAGCGCGCGCG